TGGAGGTGCTCACTTGAGGGGAAGGTAAATGGCAGAGGCCGAACCATCTTACACTAACAGTCAAAATATGGGGAGGTTACAATTACACTAGACGCCATTTCCAACTGATCTGTCACCTAAAAATCCCAAAGTACTTTCTGTCTCCCATTTATTTCCAGACCTATTAATTTAAAAGCCCAAATTAATTAATGTAGGCATTTTCTGTTATCCTAGGCAATAGTATAGGAAGAATCTGTGAGCCCTGAACTCCTCAAGCTGCATTCACTTTAAAATAAATAGAATTCTGCAGCCATTTCAGGCTGCATTCAGGCAGAGAAGGTCCCTTGAAGGCACTGTCCCCCTACACTGAGTCTTTCATGTTCATTGTCTGCTGTCTTTCGCCTGTGTGTACTTGTGACTCGAGAGGAATTCATTTATTCAAAAAATAATTATTGAACATCTTCCGTGTATCAGATACTGTGTTAGGCACTGTATATACAATGTTGAATATAATAGTTATGGCTCCAGACCCCAAAGACAGTCCATGTAATAGGAGGAAAAGTGTGAATGCACATGTATACACACGTACATATGCACACACACCATCTCTGGCCAGCCCCTCTCTGTTTCAGCACTCAGCCACTCACATCACCCCCGCAGAGGCCCCAGGCATCATGGAGCAGGTGCAGACATTCCCACTGTGACTTGTCTGAATTCCCAAGTCATGCATTTGGGGTATATGACAACGAGGAGTTGTGCTAAGTCACTAGTTGCTGGGTGACTTGTTTCACAGCAGTGGATAACTGAAACCCTCAGAGAAGTCAAGCCACTTGCAGAAAATCACTCAGCATGTAGTTTTGGCATAGAGACTCAAAGCCAGCTGAGGGGCTACCTCCCAAGGAGGTGAGTGAGCTGTTAGGGCTCAGGGGGCCCGGTGTTCTACTTGTTTACCTGCTTTCATAGAATGAACCCTCTGTGGCTTCCTTTACACACACACATAGTCACGCAGACACACCGGGGTGCTGCCTCTCCCTGTCTCATCACCCGCAGTGAGTCCTCACAGGAAAAGCACAGGCATGAAGCCTCTCATTTAGGGGGAGGGCAGAAGCTCGGCTCCTCAGCAGCAGCGTTCAGGGTGCCGGCTCTGGCTGCGGTAGGCCGCACTCTAGCCATACTCCTTGGCACAGAGAAAACCGACATAAGGTTCCAATTTGAATTCCATTTCCATGAAAAAAACATCCAGTCTAATCCTCTGGTCCTTCCCAAAGCCAGAAAGGGGCCCTGCTCTAGGGAAGTGCCCTTGTCCTCACAAAACAAGTTCCCGCTCCTTTGGCGAAAGCGGGAAGATCAAGAGCAGGAGAAACACCAAGCTGTGGGGAACCAGCCCTGTGCTGTCTGCGATTCCTCATCGTCAGCTCAGGGCCTGGCAGAGGAAGGAGCCGAGCAACGTTTCAGGCACAGGAATGGGAGCTTGCACATTTTAACAGCTTCCATTTCCTAAGCTACTTAGGGAAATGTCAGACCCTGTGAGCATCCCGGGTTCCCTTGAAGTCATGGGGAGGTTGGGAATGAGCAAATGAGACTTGTGCTCCCAACTGCAAAGGAGAACACAAAGGGGAAGTCGGAGTGATTCGTAAGTTCAGAGATGATGCCTTATTCACCACTGCAGTCCCAGTGCCTAACTGGGGAGGCTGGTAAATAGTAGACATTCAATGTTTGTGAATGAATTTAAAAAATGATCTCCATACAAATGGCTTATGTCAAGTCCCTAAAGTATTTAAGGAAGTGGCCAGCTTTCTCCCTATCCAGAAACATTCCCATGATCTTCTGAAGAAGTGTGGACACCCTGAAAGCTGGGGCTCCTTTGCTCTCTGGTGGAGCTCAGGCTTCTGGGAGATTACATGGAAAGAGTACAGGCCACTGTCCCATCTGCCACTCACCAGCTGTGTGACCCTGGGCACATTTCTTAGCCTCTCTGAGCCTCAGTGTTCACATCTCTAAAATGAAGCTAAAACTTATCTTCTTCCCAAATAAATGTGAAGCTATTTGGAACACTTTATGTAAGGTAGACATTTAATAACAGTGATTCCTATCTCTTCACCTTGGGTTGCCACATCTCCAGGGATAAAAAGTTGCCATAAAAATCTATAACCTCTAGGTTTCTCCACCCCTTCTTTTTCCTTCCACCTCCTTGCCCTGGCAAGCTGACTTGCCTGACATACTGGGCATAAAGATTAAATTTGGGATAGGACGCTATTACACATTTGACCTAAATCCCATCTCCCCACTTCAGGCAAGTTACATAACTAACATGACTATCAGTTTCTCATGTATAAAAAGGAAGCAATAATAGTGTCTTTGTCAGCATTGTTAAAGGGATGTCAGTTGTGAATTGTAAGGTTGCGCCCCCACAGGGCATGGCAGTTGGCATGAGTCTGAAATCAGGCTTGCACTACGTATGCAATACCACACACCCTCACGTGGATGCGCACTTCCAGAAGAAGGGGCACTTTTTCTAATTTGCACAAAGGTCCTTTGTGGGCTAAAGGTGTGAGGATTCAGTGAGATAAAGCAAGAATGCCACTCACACTTGTTCATAAGAGGAGGAAGCTTTAAAAACATGCCCCTGGTGACTGTTCCCACCACTTCACTGTTCTAGAAGCCTCTGGGTTGGGCCTCTGTCTGTGGTGGGCTGCAGCTCAAGCCCACAGCTAAATTTTCAGGAATTTGCCAGTGGGTTGTCAAACCAATGAAACTGGCCATGGTGGGAGCATTAACACCACAAACATCATCAAATCTTACAAGCCAGGGTCTTTTTTTTCTTTCTGGAGAACTAGTTCACCAACATTCCACTCAACTCTGCCATCCTGCAGACTATTACCCATCCACAATCAGTTTACAAATGTAAACCCACCTGTGTCATTTGCTTGCTTCAGAAACTCCAGTAGCTTCCCACCACACAAAGTCTAAAATCTGAACACCCAACCTGGGTACATCTGACCCCGGGCAGTCGAGCCCGTGCTGGGGCCCAGCCCTGACACTTCAATTGCTAGCTTGCCTCCTCTCCCTTAACAGCGTCAGCACACTGGCCTTCTCATGGTTCCTGGACAAGGAAAGCTCACTGTGGCCTCAGGTTTTGCACCTGTTCCTTCAGCCTGGACCATTCTTCTCCCCATATATTCTCAGAACTTCCTCTCACTTCTCTCTTGTCTCTACTTAACAGCACTCGGTGGAGAGACCCCGGACCATGGGATCTAAACAGCATACCCGACTCATCCTCTCTGTTGCTTTATTCTCCTTCATCGGACTTATCACCACCTGACGTAAGATATATTCGGGTTTTTGTATTAGTTTTACTGAGCTATAATTCCCATGCCATACAACCCACCCATTCAAAGTGTACAATTCAATGGTTTTCAGTATATGCACAGTTGTGCAGCCATTACAATCAATTTCAAAACATTTTCATTACCTCCAAAAGAAACCCCTTTAGCTATCACCTCCAAAACCTCCCTGAAAAGCCCCCTCTGTTTCCCACCAGCCCTAAGAAACCACTAACCTGCTTCTACTTTTTGTATTTGCTTATTTTGAACATTTCACATGAATAGAACTATATGATATGTAGTCTTTTGTGCCTGGCTTCTTTCACTTAGTGTAATGTTTTCAGGGTTCATGTATGCTGCAGCAGGTGTCCTGGCTCCATTCCTCCTTGTGGCCACATAACATTCCATCACAAGGATATATCACATTTTGTTTATCCACTCATCAGGTGATGGATAAACCTCTTGGCTATTATGAATAATACTGCTGTAAGCATTCGTATACAAGGTTTGTGTGGACACGTTCTCATTTCTTTTGGGTATAAATCTAGGAGTAGAATTGCTGAGTCACCTGGTAACTCTACGTTTTACTTTCTGGGGAGCTGACCGACTGTTTTCCAAAGTGGTGACACCATTTTGCATCCCTAGCAGCAGTGTATAAGGCTTCCAATTTTTCTGTTTCCTCATCAAACTCATCATGCATGATTTCTGTTTTTGTTTTTTTTAGTTATAGACTCCTAGGGAGTATGAAGTGGTATCTCATTGTGCTTTTGATTTACATTTCTCTAAGGGGTGATGTTGCTGAGCATCTTGTCATGTGCTTATTAACCACTTGTGTATCATCTTTTGAGAAATGTACTTTCAGATCCTTTACCCATTTTTATAGAACTCTTTATATATTGTAGATAAGTCCAATCAGAAACACAACTTGCAATCTTTTCTCCCATTTTGCAAGTGTTTTTCAAAAAATGAATTGGCTTTTTTTTTAGGACAATGTTAGGTTTACAGAAAAATTAGGGGATGTCTTTTCACGTTCTTGATAGTGCCACTTGAAGCACAAAAGTTTTTAATTTGGTGAAGTGAAACTAATCTACTTTTGTTGCTTGTGCTTTTGGAGTTATAACTAAGAATCCATAGCCAACTCCAAAGCCCCAAAGATTATGCCTCTGTTTCCTTCTAAGCATTGCGTAATTTTGGCTCTTACACTTAGGTCTTTGATCATCTCTAGTTAATTTTTGAGTGTGATGTGAGACAGGGTCCAACTATGGGTTTCCAGTAGTCCCAGTATATACATATTTCTCCTTAAAATCGTATCTGTTTCCCTGCTGAGGCCATCAGCTCCATGATGGAAGACGTTCTTCCCTGTTTGGTTCACTGATGTATTTATTCCAAGCACCAAAAACATTACCTGGCATATAGCGGGCACTTAAGATTTGTCAAATAAATAAAGAATAACTAACTCAGTAAATGTTATCTATTACCGTTATCAGTGATAATGATACTTGAAATCTGTAAGGACTTCAGCCCATGTAGCTTGAAATGACTAATACAAACCGTCCTGCATGAATCCTACTTTCTTGTTCCTGAAATTTGGTTCTCCTTGGTTACAGCCCTGATCAACCAACCTAAGGCTAACCTCGGCCCTTCCACCTGCTGGCTCTCAGCCCCCAGCGCTGCTCCCTCTCTCTGTCCTTTCCGCACTTCCTCTCTCTCGCCCTAGTCATCCAGTCATCCCAGGCCTCCGCTTCCAGGGATCACCATCCTGCTCAGTGCACCCGCCACCACCAGAGGGATCCCTAGCGTTCCTCTAGTTCCTTGCATCTCACAGGTTCCCCCTGAGTATGCCTTGCACACCCCCAGGAGACTCCTGTTAAGCAGGTTACAATGAGTAGTCCCCCTATTTTTTAAATGAAGACCTGAGTCCTGAACGGCTTATTCAAGCTGCCTATGACTAGGACCCAAGTCTTCTGACTCCAAATGGAGACAAATTCCATAAGAAAGGCGTTCAGATTTTTGTTTGCATGACAACAACTCTATCACACTGTCTGCAATGCCTTCCCCAATTTCCAGTCATCCCCTTGATCAAACTAAGCATTATTTTATAATATCCATTAATGATTGCTTTGTGCCAGACACTGTGCTGTTTTACATACATTATTCTTTTAATTCTCATCATTCTCTGAAGCTAGAGAGGTTAATGGACTTCCCAAGCTCACCTAGCTAAATGGTAGAGCTAGAATCCAAACCCAGGTTTTCAACAGTCACACGTCTCCTTAAGAAGATTTGCCACAAGGGAAAGCAAAGTCACCCAAAGGGAAGAGCAGCCACTGAGTTCTTCTCTGCCCCGAGGGTGAGTGAGGTTGGCCGTGCTCTGGTTTTTATCCCTCTCCTTCCTGAAACAGGGGCCCTGAGAGCTCCAGGCCTGGGATCCTGAGGCCTGGGTTCCCTGACTCCCTACCAGCTCCTTCTGCAAATCCTCCTCCTCCAGCTCCCAGGCTCTTGTCCAGCCACTCTCCCAAGACCTGGCCTTCATTTTCATGTCCTCCCTCTGTAGCAGAAGAAACCTGCAGCCCTCCCTCCCCAGAGCAGAGCAAGAATAGCTCGTGGCTGGATAAAAGCTCAGAGTCCTGAGCCACAATCATTATTTCACTTTAACTTGTCCTTCTTTTCCTTAAAACGACCCCCGTGCTTTGCTCTCTGCAGTCCTCCCCCTCAGCCCTCACGTGGATGGCTCAGCATATCTCTTCTAATGACCACCTTGGACTTCATCAGAGAGAGACTTGCTTCCAAGCCCCCATTAGAGCCCCCTCCCAGCCAGCCCCCAGCCTCTGGATCACAGAGTTCATTACCGAGCCTTCTGCAGCTCCCAACAACGGGATGCCTAATGGACATCTATCTGTCCCCTGGGATGGCTCTGAAAGCAGCACACATTGGTTAATAGTGTCTTCTTGCTGTTTTTCTCAAGGTAGGGCTTGAGCTGGTGAAAGGGAGAAGAGATAATCTTGCTTTATCTGAAAAAAAAATACTTGTTCTAATAAAATATGCAGGAAGGGAGGTGCCGTTTCTTCCTTTCCTAATTGAGTTCCCATCACCAGGTAGTGGGAGGAGAGTGGATTGGAAAGACATAAGGGCCCTAACATTTGGAGCCAACAGAGTCTTACCTCTTTGCAAAATAACCAAACCAGTGTTCCCACTAGCGTCTATTCAACAGATTTGCATACTCCGTTGCAAAAGCATTTGAATTAGTCTGGACCTTTCTCTCAGACCAGATTCAGTTTAATTCTCCTTTAGAAGACCCATGTTGCCTTACTTATTCCACTAACTTATCATGTCTGATTTAATCCCTCTTCCCTCCTTATCAGTCCTGATTCAGCTCCCGTTATCATCCTCAATGAGGGGAATTAGCGTGTATGAGTTGGGGAGGATGGGGAGGGTGGGGGATGGAACAGGATGAACATTTAGATGGAAAAAAAATCAGCAAAGGTTGATGAGAAAGGCTGGGTTCACTGCTGTTCTCAGAGCCAGGAGGCAGCATTCCTTCTGCCAAAGAGCTCCTTCCTAAGGGTACCCAGTTAATGGGCTATTTTCTTTTGAAGTGTTTTTTACAGATACTAATGGACTATTTCTTACTTAATATTGTTTCCTGATACTCTCTAAAAGAAACTGTGAAGGAGGACTGCTCTTATAACCCACAATATACATTTCCTTCCTGAAGCATTTGATATTCTCTGAGGCACTCTTCGCGAAGTATGAAAACCCCATATTCAACACTTACCATGTAGGAGACACTGTTCTCAGCACTAGCACTAACTTAGCTAATTTAAGTCTAGAAATAATTTTATCTTGACAGTCAGACAGTTGGAAAGACTGACCAGGCGTTCTGTATACCAAACCATTTCCCTTTCTTCCTGGGTGCACAGCTGGACCACATTCCCAGCATCCCTTGCAATTAATTGGGTGCAGCCATGTGACTGGGTTCTGCCCAGTGGACTGTGGGCAAAAGAGATGTGACCTGGCCTGGCCCATAAAACTGCACAAATCTTAACATGCTCTCTCCTTTCCCCATGTCTTAGCCAAATGGGGGTGGGGGGACTCTGGGGACCACAGGGTGGAGGGAGTTGAGGGAGTCATAGATGCAGGGATCCTGAGTCCCTGAGTCACACGTTGGAGGAGAGCTATGCAGAAGCGCCACCTAACCAGCAACACCCACACTGGGCTGTTCTGTGAGTAAGACATAACTTTTATTTATATTAAACTACTAAGATTTTAGATATAGCAGTTAGCTTACCCTAATAACATCCCCGGTTCTATAGATAACGGAATTGAGACACAACACATTTATACAACTTTGCCTAGGTCAAATGGCTATTAAGTGGCAGACTAGGAGTCACAGATGATTTTCTGACTAAAACCAGTGTTTTTGCCACTATACCACAGCTGCTTCATAATTGTTCCTGCTATTTCCTTCAAAGAAGCAACAGATCTGCTGAGACAAGCAATTAGCTTAAACAGATGCAGTTACAGTTCACTGGCACTACCATAATTAGGACCTTAATGAAGATGGCGCTGGAGGAAAACAGACTGAAAGCAGGAGGTAATCAGAGCCAGGTCCTGGGCATTATATGGGAAGAGATGCTGCAAAGTCCCCTTTGAGGAAATGAAAGCAACTTCACCAACCGAAGGCAATCTAGGAAGCTTGCAACAAGGGTAGAAACTGGTTACACTGGACTCACAATAGAGAAAGGTATACCAGAAGTAGCCCCTGGAAGGAAGGAAGCCCTAAATGTGCAAAGAAGAGTCCTGGAAGGTTTTGCACAGCCAGCCCATCAGCCCACTGTCACTGCTCGGTCTGAAATTCTTCAGTTACTTCTCAATGGCAATAGCATCAAGTCTGGCCTTTTAACCACACACAAGATCCACTATGACTTGCTCATTCTTACGTATCCAGCCTCAACTCTCTTTCCTAAGGATGGCACAGGGAGTTTGCTGAGAATATGCTTTATACTCCAACAATTTAGACTATCATAACTCCCAGAGCCCACCATGCACCCGTGTTTCCTCTGCATTGGCCCCCATCCCCAGTCCCAGCCCCCTGAAAGCTCAGGTCAGGTGCCCTTCTTTCTCCAGTCTGTGGCTTATGCCCCTCTCCTGTATCCCTACCATTCCCCTTGCACACCTACATTATAGTGCTTTTCAGACTGCCTTACAATTTTCCATTCTTGCCCCCTACCAGACTATGTATTGTGCATCCTTGATTTCCACGTGCCTAGTAGAGCACATGGAACATAGAAAGAGCTCAACAAATGCTAGGTGAATGCATGGGTAGATGACTGAATAAACAGAATCCTGAAGAAAAGTCACTTGGCACCAAAGTAGGGAGAAAAATGGTCCCCCACAGGTGTCCACTGTGATTTTGTTATATTACATGACAAAATGGAATTAAAGTTACTGATCAACTGACCTTAAGATAGAGAGATAATCCTGGAGTATCCAGATGCGCCCAGTGTAGTCAGGGTCCTTAAAAGGTGGAAGGGAGAGGAAGCACAGTCAGTGTCAGACAGATGCCACGGGGAAAGGTCCGACCAGCCAGTGCTGACCTCAAAGAGGGAACAGGGCCACGAGCCAAGGAACACAGGCAGCCTCCAGAAGCTGCAAAAGACAAAATCAAAACCAACATAAAGAACGGATTTTCCCTTAGAACATCCAGCAAGGAACACAGCCCTGCCGACACCTTGCTTTGAGCCCTGTGCAACCCAGTTCAGACTTCTGACCTCCAGAACTGTAGGATGATACATTTATGTTGTTTTAAGCCACTGTTTGTGGTAATTTGTTACACAAACTAGAGAAAAAAAATACAGGTGTTTTTAAGCTGTGTGCAGAGAAATTTCCAAAGAGAAAACTGCTATTTGTTCTTCCATATTAATTGAACAACTTCTATGTGCACAGCACTGTGCTAAATCTGGAGGAACACAGAGCTAAATGGGGACAAATCTTGACCTTGGGGTCTGTCCTTCCAGGGGATTTGGGGGTGGGAGGGTTGAGGCAGGTGATGACCAGTCACTGAGAGACATTAGCAGCATTGAAAGAAGGAGGGAGCTTAAAGTCAGAAGGAAATAGAACCTGACCTGGAGTTGAACAGATCTCTCCTTACAAAGCACAGGGAGTCATACTCAAGAAGGCCACTGGCTGGCCACTGTAGGAAGGGACTTTGAAGGCAGTCATGCAGTGTGGGCTCCTGACCAGGTTGCCATAGGAACCCAAAGATCCCTACCTATGCAAAAGCGCTGTCCTTGGTGACAAACCTATGTAAGAAAAGGAAATGAGAATTACAGAATGTTGAAACCAGAATCGCTCTTGTCCAGTTCCCTCATTTAACAGATGAAATGATCAAGGTTTTGAGAAGGAAAACCACCTTCACTTTGAAGTCTTCTTTGAGTCTTTGCTGACAAGTCCTGCATTGGCCATGACTCCTCAGTAACCATGGCAGTAACCATGATAGGTTCAGGTTAATGTGCATCTGGCTGCCCCATTCCCTTGCCCTGTATCTTGAAGGCAATGGCTAAATCTTATCCATTTTATTTTCATTCCCCTTAGTAGTTGCTAATACATGGTAACTTAAAAAAATTTTTTCTTGCGTGCAAGATTCTGACAGGGTAAATCAGGTAAGCAGAGACTTCCCAAATCAAGGTACCAGACAAAAGAGAGAGAATAAGAGC